TGCACTCTGCAAAGCTCCCAAAAATGGTTCATTTTTTTTGCGAAAATGGGCTTTTTTTGTCAAAAAAGGGCATGCATAGTCTTTAGGAGGCTTATAGAGTGCTACTGGGGGGTGGGGGAGCAAAAAATGGGCCATTTTTCGCTCATTTCTGCCCTCCCCAGCCCCCAAGAGCACTCTGGAAGCCTCCTAAAGGCTATGCTCAGCCATTTTTGCAAAGGGGGCAACGTTTTGGGAGGACAAAAATGCTGTATTCAGTTTATAAGATGCACCCAGGTTTTCACCCTCTTTTTTGAGAGAAAAAGGTGCATCTTATTCTCTGAAAAATACAGTAATTCCTCTACAGGTAGTCCTTGACTTAACAACAGTCCACTTAGCAACCGTTCAAAGTCACAACAGCATTGAAAAAATGAGTTATGACCATTTTTCACTCTTATGACTTGGTTGCAGCTTTCCCATGGTCACATGATTTATATTTGGATGCTCGACAGCAAGTTCATATTTATGATGGTGGCAGTGTTCCTGGGGTGTGTGTGTGTGTGTCACGTGATCTGCTTTTGCAACCCTCTGACAAGCAAAGTTAATGGGGAAGCCAGATTCACTTAACAACCAAGTTAACTAATTTAACAACTGCAGTGATTCACTTAACAAACGTGGCAAGGAAAGTCTTAGAATGAGGGCAAAACCTCACACAACCAATTTCTCACTTAGCAATGTATATTCTGGACTCAACTGTGGTCGTAAGTTGAGGGCTACCTGAGTTAACGTAGTTTGGACGAGCATCCCCAACACGCAATACAGGCTGTTGGAGCAGAATTGGAAAAACAAGTAGAGGAAACGGCACCCCAAACTTCAGAATTGCAGCCTTGCCTTCTTTCAGATTTAGTGGGTGGCCATTGCTTGTCGGCTGATTTGACTTGGTGGCTTAATGGTGACTTGTATTTTTCTTCTCTTGCAAACGGTAGAAAAAAGAGGACGAGGTGGACTCGTTCAACGACATCCCGGAATATGTCCTTGCAATGCCCGAGGATGAGTCGGAACAGTTAGAGGAGGAGGATGACACCCTGTGGTCTGAGATACAGGAGGAGGATGAAGAGGTAGCTCTGAAAGACCAAAAGGTAAGAAACAAGCCGCAGTAGTGGCAGTCCCTATGGATGGAGTGCGGCCTGATCTTTCCCACCTTTGTGGATATTTACAAACAAATAAAAGCTTTGCAAGCACGAATAATACCGATAGTGAGGAGTCCTTGATGCTCTCTCAGCTTGCTTGCATTCTTGCAGATGGTTCATTACCGAAACTAACGTATTTTTCGGAGTATAAGTCACACCTTTTTCCCTCAAAAAAGAGGCTGAAGATCTGGGTGCGTCTTATACACTGAATACAGCATTTTTTGCCTCCCGAAACCCCGCCCCCTTCACCAAAATGGCCGTGCATAGCCTGTAGGAGGCTTTCAGAGAGTTCCTGGGGACTGGGGAGGGCAGAAATGAGCGAAAAACTCTATAAGCCTCCTAAAGGCTATGCATGTCCTTTTTTTGACTAAAAATGGGCCCATTTTCGCAAAAAAACGGGCCGTCTTTTGCTTGTTTTGGCTTCCCCAGCCCCCCAGGAGCACTCTACAAGCCTCCTAAAGGCTATTCATGCCCCCCTTGTTTTGAAAAAAAACCTGGCTCTTTTCCACAAAAAATGGGCCATTTTGGGGAGGTCTGCAGAGTGCAAACTCTTTTTTTTAAAAATTGCCTCTTCAAAATCTTGATGCTTCTTATACGCCAATGCGTCTTATACTCCGAAAAATACGGTAGGTAAGATCAGAGGGGAAATGCATTTTTTTTACTACCAGTTCTGTGGGCGTGGCTTGGGAGGGGGCGTGGCAGGGGAAGGATACTACAAAACCTCCAATCCCACCCCACTCTGGGGCCAGCCAGAGGTGGCATTTGCCAGTTCTCTGAGCTACTCAAAATTTCCACTACCGGTTTTCCAGAACTGTCAGAACCTGCTGAATTTCACCCCTGGGTAACTAGCACCAATGATGTTTATGGAGATTTTTTTTTTTTAAAAAAAGTTCTTGTGGTATCTTTTTCTCTTTGTTTATACTACCATATTTTTCGGAGTATAAGATGCATCTTTCCCCCCACAAAAAAATCTGGGTACATCTTATACATTGAATACAGCAATTTTGGCCTCCTGAAACCCCATCCCCTTTGCAAAAATGGATGTGCAGAGGGTTTGGGAAAGTGCTCCTAGGGGTTGGGGAGGGCAAAAATGAGGAGAAAACGGGCCATTTGTGCCTTCCTCCAGCCCCCAGGAACTCTCTGCAAGCCTCCCAAACCCTCTGCATGCCCCCCCTCCTTTTTTGCAAAAAACAAGACATGCAGAGGTTTTGGGAGGCCTGCAGAGTGCAAAAACTTTTTAAAAAATTTTTATCTCTTCAAAATCATGGTGCGTCTTATACTCTGAAAAATACTGTAATTGAACTGTCCCTTATGGACTAGAAAATTAAAATTGGTGAGGAAATTCCCATCAATTTCCTAAATCCTTCTTTCCTCCTCCCCCCACCTTTTTTTTCTTTAGCTAATGCTCTTGAGCATGGTGTGCTGCTCCTTGGTGGAAGGGGCACGTTTTGGGAATCCTCCGGGATTGTTACAGCAGAAACTGATGAAAACATGTAAGAGTCTAGCAGAATATGAACCAGAATTCATCCTCAAGGTAGGAAAGGGGGCTGTGGAACATGGGCTTGAGGGTTGGGGGTGGGTGGGATGTGTAAAGCATTAGGAGCAGCTGTGTACCATGGATGTCCCTGAATTTAAGAGGTTATCTGATTGCTTGTCATTGTGGTGTAGGTTTAGCTCTGGTGCACCATTTTTTTGTACATGATTGATTTCCCCAATTTATTGGGTGGTCAAATAGTTATGGGTGTCATAGAATAACCAAAACCTTTAATTTAAAGTGTCTGTTATGATAAGACTAAAAATGTTAGACAGATGATCCGAAACACATCTTCAAATCGATTGTGAACAGAGACGTTTTCAAGAAAACACTGGGCAATCTTTGTTCTGAATGACTTGAGGATTCCTGCAGTGGGCTAGGAAATTAGTACCGAAGCACTTCCAAATTGAAGGGATTGATCGGTGACATCACCGTTGCCCCGGAGGATGCCCAGTTGGGATCTCCTTTCACATCCATGTTAAATTGCCCATGGAAGTGGTACACACTTATCTACTTGCGGCTGCCCACTTTCGAACTGGAGGTGGTGCATGTGTCGGGAGCTCACCTCATCCCACAGCAGCAACCGGGTCTCGAAAGCAAACCGGCTGATCGTCATCTCAGCGCCTAACCTCTGAGCCACGGTTCCACCACAAAACCGCGCTCGACGAAACCGCGCTCGACGAAACCGCGTAGCTGACGTCATCACAGGGCGACAACAGCGCGGAGACAGAAGCACGCTGTAAACGCTAAACCTAA